GAAAATAAGTGACTACTGGGCCGAAAATAGATCGAAAAATCAGTCATACAGTATTTTGCGGACGCTACAAAGAATTTTAATCCGATTGAGCTGAGTTTTTCACCAATTATTCTCCCATGTATGATTAATGGTTCGTCATAGCGCTGTGTTACATCTGTGAACACAGGCCGAACGAGAGGTATCCTGAAAAACCAGGCTTCTGCTTCGGAATCCCTAGCTTTGAGAATTTGAGAACATTTTGATGCAAAACTAAGACAATATTCGAATTCAGCTCGTCAAACTGCATCGAATCATATATAAGAGTAAATGTTTCTGAAAAAAAAGTCGGTGCTTAGGCGGTGATAAGCTTTCGAAAATCACCCTTTCCGTTTTTTTTAAACCCTGCAAGGAGCTTAAGTGCGATTGATCTCAAACTTTCGCTTATAATTCTCCCTCATCTGGTACATCGGTGACCATAGCGCCACTTCACACTCATAATCACAACTGGTGCTACGGGTCTCAGCAAAACCAAGGTTTTGCTTTTAAACTCCTATTTTTGTAAAGAAGACATCATTTTGGTGAAAAGTCAAGGTGATATTCGGAATCAGCTCATCGAGCTGCATCGAACCATGTATAAATAAAAAGCATTTTTTGAAAAAAATGTTTCTGACTATTATGCTAAAAATGTTCCTACAAATCGACTTTCTCGATTTTGTAAACGTTATAAACAGCTTGAATCGAATTCAGCTGAAACTTTGAGTGAATATTCCTTCATGTAGAATCTCTCCTCGTCTATACTGTCAAAAGACAATGAGTGAACGTCGACGAAGTTACGAATTTTCCAAAAATCCTGGTTTTTTACACTAAATCCTTACTTTTTTTCCACAAAATAACTTCCTAGCGAAAAACTAAGTCGATATTCAGAATTAGCGCATGAAGCTACGTCGAATGATGCGCAGAACATTATGTTTCATAACAAAAACTTTTTCGGAAAATGTGGCAAGGATTCCCTACGGATAATTTTCAGGAAAATTTTTTCTTCTAAGAAATGGTTTATTTTCTTAAAGGTGATTTTCTAGGTGATATATAATCACTTCTGAGCAAAAACAACCCATTGCCGAGCACGGAAATTCCGTGTCCGCCTGACATGCGAAAGTTGCTCACCGTGTGGCATATGTGATACTTCAATTTCTCATTACGCATGTCAATGGTGACGTGAGAGTGTGCGCCGCTGAAGACAAGACCCATATCAACAGCCACACCCACGCCCGTGAAAAATCCTGGAGACAGGAATTACTAGGATTCAAAACAGGATCCTGAATAAAGCTTTGCAAGGTCCTTGCAATACAGGACCCTGAAATATCCTTCCAGGATTTCTCAAGGAGCGAACAAGATTGAGACTAGGGATTCTTTGTATCGCCCATGTATTCATGCTTAAACTCCTAAAGCATCTCTAAATGTCTACAAGCTATGTAACTTGACGCGTTTGAACGTATTCAAAATGCAACATTTTAAGGCGTGTAAGCTCAGCACTGTTGAAAACGCATTAATATACGTTTTCTGGCTTTCCTACTCATGATACTGTTATGAGATAAACATCTTTACTTTATTCTGAAAAAAGTCAGAAAATCATCATCACTTTGTGTCGGAACCAAACCGAAGTTTGGCATTTAGACTGCATCACTGTCATTAAAATATAAGTAAATTGGACTTGATTTAGCAGATTAAGCATATATATCAGAAGGCCTATGATAATATATTGTTATCTGCAAATCTTTTATTGAAAATATTTAATTTTATCGAACTTACATGTCTCACTCTACATTACTTCTAAAATACTTAAGAATGAGCAGACAATAGATTATCCTCTTAAAGTTGTTGTCCACTTCATCATTTATTTCCTAGGCAAACAAATAAATCTTTGAATATGATATGTTTATTTCCAAATACTTCATTTTATCGGAGTTTCACAAGCGCTTTTTCACATAGAGTTGTTGGCTTATCTTTATTATGCTCTATAATAAAATGACTCGAAATGAAACTTTTAGATTCATACAATAAAAATAAATACATCACGGAATTTTATTACTTACAAACATCAGAATAAGTAATTTTTTTAAATTTATGCTTTTAAGAAAAGGATAAATGAATAATTTATTCACAAGAATAAAAAAGTTAAATGAAACTGACGGTTTATTTTTAAATAAAAACCTAATATTTTATTTTCCCTCAGATAACTAAAAACATGTTGATATCATAATCACAAAAAATTAACGAGACAATAATATTTACAAATATTTTTTCTTCTAGTGTCTTCACTTTTTATTAACATTTGGATATTGAGATGCTAGTAGTAAGAAAAAAACTGTAAATTAATGCCTTTATGCCACATATTTGTATATTTATTTATCATAGAGCAAGATTTTTTTATTCTGTAGTTTTTGCTTTTTTAATATAAAAAATTTATTTCTTTATTTAAAATTTATTTTTCTAAATATCAAAAATATATTTATCTTGATTTTTTTCGATAAAAATATTATTTATATTTATTTCACGAAGTCAAAATATAAGAACTCGATTCGCAAAGTTGTAACAAGTAGTGTTATACAAGCTAATGATGCGATTAATGAATATAGAAACAAGTTCGAGTTGTGTTTAGCTCAGAGCTAGTTATGTTCGATTCGTAATCGACTGGTCGTATGTTCAAATCTTCGTTCAAACTGTGATTGGAAAAATTACGACCCTGGTGCTCACAGCATTTGGGTGTTATATCATAGCTCGATATGGTGCGTCGGTTCGATTCCAAAACAGAGTGATGGTTATTTTTTAATTTTTTTGTGGGCGAAAAATGAACGCGTCACAACCTATTCATCTCCTGTTGCATCTAAACGTAGCAAAATCCAAAAACGTGTCGTAATCCGTCTGCAAGATAGACGAGTTTGCACACGTTTTGGTTTTTGAATGCGTTCACGCGCGTGAAATCGATTCATTTTGGATGCGTTCAAACGCATCTTTTAGTATAAACGAATTGTGACACTGTTAGCATTGAGACGAGGGAAAACGCATTTGTGCACTGTAAACGCGTTTAGAGATCCTAAATGTTGCATTCTCAATGCGTTTCAACGAGTCAAGTTGCATAAGTTATAGGCGCTCAGGGACGCGTTCAAGATCGAAAAAAGGTTACCTGGATGAGAGAAGAAAAGAAAAGGATAATGAGACAGAAAAAGGCGAGAAAAAGAATGAAGAATCAGTAAGTGCTTTCTTATTTTGTGCTCTAACTCAGATTACTACGATTATCTTTGATTATAACAGAAAAAAAACGAAGCATGGTGAAAATAAAAGAGCTACAACAATATATGGTTCATTTATTAGCGGAATGTTTTGGAACATGTGTTCTGATACTCATGGGCGAAGGCGCTCTTGCTAACTATAAATTTATCCAACAACCTTCTCATTCTACACTTCCAATTGCTATTGCATTTGGCGTCGGCACCTACTCAGGTAATATTGATAGAAACAAGTAGAGAAATCAGAATAGCAACTCCATTGATCACTTTACAAACACTAATAAAATCCATTTTGTTTTCGAAAAGGGCCCTTCAATGTTTGATCAACAGCATTCTCTTTCCTAAATCTATTGCTTCTCTAAAATACCCAGATGAATGAATCCAATACTGGATCTGATCAAATCCGACCCGTCGACAAAATCCTATGAGAATCCGGGTTGCAGAACCACTAACCGATCCGATGGGTGAATCCTATTTTATTAGTTGAGTACTAATTAGCATTTTACCCCAATAATAGAGACCTTCAGACTCATAAGATGGGATTCAATCGAATTTCAATAGTAGAATCCAATCAGACACAACAATAGGGATCTGAATGTCGTTCCGCAACCCAGATTTCCATAAGAGTTCATTGATCTTATAGAAATTCCAATAGAATCTGATCGGATCCGATTGTTGGAATGATTCTTCTAGGTAAGTCATTCTGCCTATACCAGGTCAGACAATCAGATACTAAGATCTGACAAGATTCTGCATCTGATCTTATATGATCTTGTAAGATTAGACAAAAAATCATACGAAAAATCATCTTCTCCATGCAATCTTATGCAAGATCATACTATAAGAGTCTTGGAAGATCTTGCCATCTGATAAGATATTACTATAAGATTATAGAAAATCTTATGTGACAGTAAGATCTTTCAAGAATCTTATAATACGCTCTTCTGTAAGATTGTAGAGGCAACGATTTTTAGTACGATTTTGTCTGATCTTACAAGATCTTACGTCTGTTTTTTTGACCTGGGTATATTTCAAGCACGAATTTGATGTCCGTCCAAATGAAATTGGTTTATTGCAAAGACTTACTTGATTTATCTTTAAGATCGCAATACAATATGATTTTATCTTTCTTATTGAATTATGAGAAGCTGAAGTAATTACAATTAATAATAACTGACGTTATCAATCGTCTGCCAAGGAATCAGCCAAGTCATGAATTAATGAATTACCTTAAAGTGATTTATTATCTTGCGAGTTTTTCTGTAAAAACTTAATTACAAAGAGTTTCCTAAAAAAAAACAGTGCCGATAGAGAAACAAGTAAAGCAATGCTTTATGAGTACAAGGTCATCATCAAATAATTTTATCTCTATAATCTGAATTGATCTTGCATATACGAATCATTAGTTACAACGAACTAAATCGTCAGATCGCAGAAAATTTTGTCAATGGGAATAATAATCAATACTATTGTCGGATTTTTTTAAAAATAGCCTGCACCTATTTTTGAATAACTTTCTANGCCAATTGATAAGCGTGTAACTGTAATTAGAAAGAACGATCTAATCAACCCTGACGTTTGTAAAAATAGCATTGCTCGAAAATTAGTCAAACATAAAGATTGGTATGATCTCAAGTGGCAGGAAAATTATCTTTCTAGGCTAGTAACAATTTTATGAGAAATACTAAATCAAGAAGATACTATATCTATTGAGTACATAAAACTTGTTTGGACATGGATACTCAACCAAATAGAGAAACAACAACTAGTTCATTATGTGTTCGATCTCATAATGATCGCTACCTATGTAAGTATATTTGCTTTATTTCACTCAGTAGTGAGTCATAGCAATAGAGAGAAGTACAATGGGGGAAGTAACAATACTTCTGTAGTCCGTACTTCCATGATATTTTCTCGTACTTCCGTCGTACTTCAAAATACTTCTGAACTAGATGAAGTCTTGCTCCTCCTCCCTTAAACAAGTATTAAAAAATATCGAGACTGCGTTAAACGAAGTATTATAGAGTTTCTTGTAAAAGTTTAATGTCTTGATATTAGGAAAAAAGTTCAAATAACGTATATTTACGAAGAAAATATCTGTGAATTAGTATTTTGGTAATTTCCATCCGCCACTCCTCTAATTTATATGTTAAATACCTTATTTTTCGATGTAGAATAGATATGCAGATACTTCTAAAGTGCGTCTGCGACCATACACTTTTCCAGTATGAAGTTGCAGAACTGAAAAATGACACATATCTTTATGTCTGTTTGATAGACTTTCATAGATGTTCGATTTAGGAGCGCAGAATCTGCCGGTAAAATTTCCCTGACGATAAATTTTTTTCGGAAAATTTCTCAGATATGAAAGTCAATCAAATACCTACTTTTCTAGATTAAAGTATTTATTCAAAAAAACTACTACTATTCAATATCTTAACTTGATATTGTACCCCTTTTTTTGTAAAATAGTCATTGTTTATCTTTTGTATGACTAAAACAATCATTGAGTGAACTCCCGTGGATGTAATGTGTAATTGTGTTCTTGTATGTAAACTTCGAAATTTTTGTGATTGATCTTCACTTGTCTTGTGTTCAATGTATTGAAACATGCCAAATAAAGATTTTCGAAAGTTTAATGAGAAAGAAAAAACGATCGTTGTATGCCTTTACTAATATAAATACAGGTAGATGGTATATCAACGCTCAGTTCGAAAATTTTCTCTACGACTGTCAGTGCATATGGGTAGATTATGTATCCCTGGTAAGAACATTCACTTTTTATTGATTGACCGTGAATCAAAATGTTATACAAAAGTGATGTGTAGAATTAGTATAGAAGGAAATGGCAACGAATCTTAGAGATTAATATAACAATCATTCCAAGTCTATCAAAGATATTCATCATTGTCGGTACAGTTCAAACAATAAACGGACTATAAGAATATTACATTAACTTTATGAACTCATTTGAATTTAGCACTTAGATGAGTGGCGAAACGAATGTTTTTTTGTTTTTTTTTTTTTGTGGCTTATTCAATCGAAAAAAGTAAATAATGACGAGATGCGCATCTTACATGATCTAATACAACGAACTTTACGTCAAAATGTGACCATGTCTAATGGTTATTCTCTTCTCCAAGTATGCACCAAGGATATTATACAGATGGAAGATAGCTAAACAATCGCCTCGAATAGGTATTTTTGTTTTCTCATGCATTAAGTTTTAAAACGAAAAAAACCGTCTCAACGTAAAAACAAATTGTATTCAATTGATAAAAGAGTCATAGTGGACGGTTCTCTCTAAAAATAACGTATAACATGTTGAAATTGAGTGTGTACTGAATTCTTTTTGTTTTAGTCTTCCAATCCTTTTAGTTATTCGTCTGCTGATTGATGCTGGAGCAAATGTAAATCAATCTGATCCACGTACAAAATCTACGCCATTACATATGATCGCTGACTGTGCAGACGTTGATATTGCAAGACCTATCATTGAACTTCTCTTGGCTGCGGACGCTCACATTGATTGTATCGATTATCGAAATTGTCGACTGGAAGATCGAGCATGCACACTTGAGATCAAAGAACTTCTACGAACAAGTCAAAAGCTTTCGCTAAAATGTCAGTGTGCTCATCTAATCAATTCAAGAAATATTTCTTATGAAAATTCTCTTTCGTTACGTCTTGTTGATTTTGTCAGAATGCATAGTACACAATGGCCTGCTTCGAAGACATTTTTTTTTCATCATGCAAAACATAATAAAAACTAAATCACTGTAATGAACTTAAAAAGTTTACTTCTTCTCGGTGTTGATTAAAATCTACGATAATGTTTTCATACAGATTTTATAATAGAAATTAAATCAATCTATGAAATGTGAATAACGAATTGAAAAAACTATCGATGAAGAGATATGGCAAAATACACCATTAGAATACTATTATGAGCCACTACTGAATATTATATATTTCCTCGAATATTTAGTCTAATTCTACATTCAGTATTACATAATTATCAAAACCATAATTCAGTTTTGATCTCTGCTATTAATAGGTAAGAAAAGCCTTTACCAATCTAGGATGAATGCGAACAATCGTTTATCTTTACTTGTTACTATTATACCATGAAGTATATCACAAAACTGAGAAAACTATGTAACATTGTGTTATCATTAGTGACGATTTGCTCTCACTGTGTAAAATAGCTTTAAATTATATAGATCGAATTATAAATATCGTCATGATTTCTTTTCTGTTGTAAAAGACAATATCGTGTCCTAAAGAAGTTGTTTGTTAACGTTGAATATCAATCTAGTTTAGTGATTTATTTTCCAAAACTTTCGATTGAAACTTATCATATATTATTCCCTATAACAAAACTGTCTTACATTTTTTATGCTACACATATTCTATATTGACTTGAGTTGTATTTTAGTGTTTCGATTCTTTCGTACAGATTTATTTACTGACAAGAACTCAATATGATTTTTAAAAAAGTAAATGACTGGTAATAGAGAAAGGCTGTATATAGGCAAGACACTTGAGTTTTTCCTCAATAACAAAGAGCATCGACAAGAATGTGTTTTCTGTGGAAAAGACCTCTTGTAATGCAAATAGTTTTACTTGTCTAAATTATATTTTCATTTTTCACTTATCTATTTACGAGAAGTTGAACAAGTAGTTGCTCTTAGCTCATCTAATTTCGAGTAGAACAAGAAATCTGATAAAATGCAATCTCACTTTTTATTTACGATTGATATTCTTTATGAATATATTGCATGGTTTGATTATGACTTATATGAATTTTGTTTCAATCGTTACTATATGGAGTTTTATCATGTATTGATTCAAAATTCGAATATATTCTTTTGAGATTTTGCTTTAGTTAAATCATCTATGTTTGAATTGGAGTTATTCTAAAATTTTGCTCATGCAATATATTATGTTGAACATGATATGGAATTAATTCAAACGAATGGTCATTTCTTTCTTTTACTATGAAAACTTTAAAAATCATCTTGCTTTCTTTAATCCTATTTAGAAATAGATACTGTTCATCTATTAACTGAAATTGTACATAGATTTTCTGAAACTCACATATATTTTTCAAATAAATAAAATTTTTTCTTCCGTCTTCTCCCTAGAAACTTAAGCAATCGAGAATAGCACATATCAGTCTTTCTAGAATTTTTTTGCAAAATTGTTCAAATTATAATACACAATCGTGATGTTTCATAAACTGCAAAATAACTTTTTTTCCCAGTATTCATGAAACCATTGATATATTAGATAGAATCGAAAACCTTCTATGCGCAGTTGCTCAGATCTGTAATAGGAAGGAAACCAAACATCGAACTTACAGCTTACACTCACTATTTTCTTTGAAAACATATGTGAATTCCACAAAAATTTATAAGCAGATGTACTAGCTAAAGACGAAGAAGACTACGTATTTGTAATTGATTTTTTATGCATATTATATCTTGAGATAGTGAGGATAGTAAAGTTTCAGAATTTTTTTAAAATAAATTCTAACAATTTTAGTATTAACTTGAGCATTTTACAGCTTCTTGATGAAACGTTCTTTCAATCTGGCTTTTAAAAGCATAACTATAACTCATCAAGCTCTACAAGGTGAAATTTCATGAAAGAAGCCATGTATAAATGTATGTGTACGTGTGAATTGCAATATGATGGTAGAATCTTGAGATATGTAATTTTGCTGATTAAATGATTTCTTTTGTTTTCTTTGATTAATTTAAGGGAAGCCTCTCACTGAAAAAATCCAATCTTTCAAAGCCAAGTTTAGTTTGACGTTTTGTCATAGTAAAATGCATTCTTTCAGAATATCTATAGTTTATCGCAAAATGAATTGATTTTGACGAATTGATCGTCTAAAGCTTGGCTACTACTATCATATTTTTCCAATATTTACAATTTTTTCGGTGTTTTTAGGCAGTTTCTCTTTGCATTAATATTTTGAAAATTTTTTTTAGATTAATCACTATGAGACTAATAACACTTAATATTAAGATCATATATTTATAGTCAGTTCTGAACACTTATATATAATTCAGATGTGTTTCACAAAAATCGACTTCTAACACTTGTACAGCCTTTTTGTCAAAATTAGTTTTTTTGAATATGCTCCGACAGTTCGAAAGTCTGATCAACTTATAATAAAAATTGTTCGTGTACAAGATTTACATGAATCTTGATTATTAATGCTGACTACAACTTCATTCAAACATTCTTATATCATTATTGCATGTAATAAACAACATTTTCGAACAACATAAGCTGATTGAAATCCAACAGATCAAAATCCATATTGGACTTTGGGTAATAGTCCATTCAATTTTAATATTTCTAATTAAAATATGGATTATTTGACTATATGGATTCAACAACAAGATAGATTTCGAATTATCAAAGGTAATCAATCAAAAATGTTAGGAATGTGTGAAATAAATATTATTCAATTGATTCATCAAGAAAAGGAACAACCATTGTATTTGCGAACATAACATTCTTTGAAGTTTTGTTCGCAAGCGCAGTTGTATTTGAACTGAAGCAATTCAATGAATAAATTTCCATATTATTTCTACTATTTAAAACAAAGAAATATTTCTTGGAGAATAATATCCAAAAGTATTACTGCAATTATCTACTAATCATTACGGTTTAAATTTTTTTAAAAATACATATGGAATGAATTAGGACTAAGCAGCCGTAATTGACTTTGTCGATTGTGACACGATATAAATCTGAAATCTTCGTATGCCTACTACTTGCAAAGCAAACCAGATAGGATAAAGTATTCTGCTTATACGAATCACATGTTTTCACATCTTATGTAAGATACAAATGTTCAATGCTTGTGTTACGGGGATTTATTATCTGTAATTCAAATAGATACTAAAGTGTCGATTTTAGTCGATAGATTGGTTGTTTTAGTTACTAGAAAATAATAATTTGCAAAGATCGATTCCACATATTTTAGAAAGGGTAATTATATTTCATCTCTTTTGACAATTGCGAGCAATTATTAAAAGAGTTATTTGATTAGCGAGAATGAAAATAGGATTACATTCGCACAGAAAACAATTTTGATAATCAGTTGATAATATGTTCATTCATTTACTTGTACTGAACATCAACGAGCAGTAATAAAGTATATATTAAAATACCTGTCATGGAGTTCTGAATATGAATATACTTGAAACTCAATATAAAAGCATAGTTTTTATTTTTAACAACATATGAATAATGCTGAAGTATTTAGTATCTATTTCTTTTATTATTTTGATAAAAATTGTTGTCTCCAGATGTCACGCATCTGTTGAATGAGATTGCTTTTATTTGAAGGAAGATTTATTTCTTGGTTGTAATCAACTAACTGTGAGGTCATAGAGTACATGGAATAGAAAACTATTGTGTCAGTTTTTAGGTATCAACATTGAGAAGATAAACGACTGTTAGGCATCATGATACTAGATATGAATGTAAAAGATGTATCTTAATCTTGATTAGGCGAGGATAATGTTGTTTTATTTATTACGATTAAAAAAAAGCATATTGTCAAAGAAATGAATTTTTGACCGAAGATAAATGTGCAGGTTCAATTATCTACTGTTGCGATTGGAAGATCTGTGACAGCTTTTTTAAAAATACTATGTATTTGGTCAGAGCATCACGAAGTCTTTCTCTGTGTAGGATGACAGGTATCTTTGACGGCATATCACACTTGAAGTTTTTTAGTTAATATTAAAAATCGACAAAAGAGGTTTTTGTATTTTGCAGAAATCCTTTGTAAAGGAAAGTTAAGAGACTATTTCATCTAATTATGCTTGTTAAAATTAAGGTTCACCGATTAGGGTAAAATGGAGAATACCCTGAAATCTGGAAGCTTTCTGCAAAATTTTTTGGACACGCATGAGAAATTTATGGCAGTATCGTGGATAACAGAATGAATTCAGCGATTGCCTGTGACGAATATAGCATGGATGTGTGTAGATCTATGTCTACATAGACAAAAGATTTTCTGGTTAGGATTTCAGGAATCTCTATGCTTCTGAAACAGTTTTGAAAATTTCAAAAGCAATCGGTGAGCATGGATATATTTTACTGAACTACTCAAATATTACTTGGATACACATTAGAGTAAGTCACTGAGAAAGTGCAAAAATGTTTTTTTTTTGAGAACAGAAAATGTATTGTTAGGGAAAAGTTCTTTAAATATTCACACAGGATACGATGTTTTGCTAGTTAGGATTTCGTCTCTTCATGATGCATCTTTACGATAGTTCCGAGAATCCAATTTACGGTATTTATTTATTATCACCTCGTCATACAACTCGCTCTCAATCTAAAAAAAATTTGACGAGGCGATAACAAACAAGATCAGAAATGTGTACAATATACTATTTCCACTAATAATTATGTCTTTGCGTCTTAAAATACTGCCTTCATGCAGAAGACGATCAGATTTCGTAGTAAAAATAGAATTTTTAGCAGATTCCATCATATTTGGAAGTCGATCTCTTCGACACAGAAATATGTGGAGAATAAGCTAAAAAGCAGTATACCCTACTTCAAGACGCACATAAATGTCGTTTCATAATTCAAAAAAATTCTGTATGAAAAAGAATATAATATATTATTTGCCTGTGTCCTGTCATTTATTTCTTTATCTTTCATCAAAGAGCTGGTTGCTTCGTAAAATGTTTGTTTCGAAGTAGCACATGTTGAAGTAATGTTTTCTTTCTCAACACTTCAGTCGACGGAGAAAAGTGGAAAAGATTAAAAAAAACAGTTGTTGGAAGAAATGAAAAAGAGAACCGCTAATGATTCACGTACTGTAAATCAGTGAAGGGATAAGAGTTTTTAAAGAGCAAACTTAACTATGAAAAATGTTGTCAATAAATCATATACCGCCTGAAATATTAGATAAAATCATTAAACATTTCTCCTATCCCAGAGCTAAGCTCATGTGCTAATGTTTGTGGACGTTGGAAGTCAATCATTACCAAGTCTTCACTACTTTCATTCGATATTGCGAAAGACATTGAAATATCAGATCGTAGTTTAACATTTCGTTTTATTCCAAATTTAACTGCGATTTGTCTTCTTCTGAAACGTGATCGTGATGCATTTGAAATGGCTCAAAAATTTATTCAATTACAAGCTAAAACATTAGAAAAAGTAATTCTAGACTCATCTCTCAATGTTCATCATGATCGAAGCGAAAATCCTGCTAAATGATATCCGTATGACCTGGGAAAAGTAGATCTAATTGACGAGTTGACAAAGTTGCCGTCCATAACCGATTTGATAATCAATTTTCCAGTACCCATTTTCCATAATTTTAATGATAAAGCCTATGAACTGTTTCGTCATTTGTCACTCGAGGGTGTGGGTGTGGGTGTCTATAAACGTTCTGACAGACAAGGCCCACACCCACACCCTAATCAGAAATAATCGTGATCTTTCCTTGAGTATTTTTCAATGGGGATTTATTTTGAGTTTTTGTTGACCGGTAGAAAGAATTGAATCGCTTATCGTTTACAACATGGTGTTAAAACTTTACCAGACTTGGGGAAATTTCATTGGCGTCATTTGTTTTTATGTAAGTATTTTTTGTGTGAGTCACTTTTACCTTCGTTATATATTTTTTTATTGTTATGTCCCATTTATATAAAGTAAGACACGTCGCGTTATTATTGACTCAAACCAACTCGGAAGAACCAACAATGACAGCAATTCAGAGATCCGAAAATTTTATCAAACCAATTGATGACAACACAACGCCTGACAGTCTACCCAAAGAGCTTATTCAGCCAGAACGTGATGTTACTAGTAGCTATTCAGCACTAGTACCACCATTTTATAACGGTTCGTTGGAACAGGCTCTCCAGCATTCATTGTTTGCATATCAGACTGTAAGTTTTTTCTTTTATTATGAGTGCAACCTGCAATATGTGCATGTATTATTTTTCTTTAGTCTCGATTATTAGCGCTCTACCTACAGCATGATGAAAGTTCAGCTATGTCTACAGTTTGCGAAGGTGCTTTGTGTTCGGAAGCTACTATCAAGTATCTTCTTGAACACTTTATTGTTTGGCCATGGAATCGAACTAGTGACGTGAATTACGCTCAGTAAATAAAAATAATAGAAGTGAACAAGATTGAGAGTAAAACATTTATGTTTCTTTTGTAGACTCTTAGCAAATGTGTCAAAACATTTAGGAGAAGGAGTGGCAACAATAATCGATTCATTATCAATCAATTCCTATCCACTACTCGTCTGTCTTTCGTTTAATCAAGGTCAAATCAATGTTGATACTATAATCGATGGAACTGTATCAGACAGTGAAGCATTCTCTCAACTCTTGGAAATATGTGAGAAGATGAATTCCCAGCTAGAATTCCCGGATACGACTGGTCTACCGACGAGTGCTGTTTCTATTGAAAATTGGTCTATGCCAGCGAGCAACTTAACACACGTTTCAGAGCAGTCTGAAGAATTTCAAAGAGTGGCTCGAGATTTTCGAATTGGTGAAGTTGGCTCATCGACAATTATTCGCATTGATCGAATCGAAAATTTAACATGGCTTGTTCAGTATTTCAATGAAAAAAAGATAATTGATGATCGACTCGGTCGTACCGATACAGAGTTATTGTTATTTCATGGTTGTCCATACTTGGCAGCTGAACAAATTCTTCAACAAGGATTCGATCATCGTCTTATCGGTAAAAATGGTAAAGAATTTGAAATGAATTAATGAATTAACTAGATTCAATGTAACTATTTTAGGTTCTATATACGGTCGCGGATTCTATTTTTCGTCAAAACGATCTGTCAGTGATGATTTCTCTTATCGAGGTCAATCGTGTAATAACGAAAGAAGAATACTGATGTGTCGCGTACTGATCGGTCAAAGTTACGTAGCAGAGTTCGGGTTAAGAACATGTCCTGATAATTATGATTCAACAACCAATGGATCAGATATTTATGTCGTCTATTCAAATCGTCATATCTTACCCGAATATCTCATCACTTATAGATAAATATTGTTTTTCTTTGTATATACGCTCGTATCCATTGTGGATACTCTAAATATGTCAAACTTTTCTAATTCTGTTTTGAAGTAATAATAAAAACTGAACATTAGAAATAACCCTGGATGTTTTTATTTGGGTGACCCGACAATTGAGCTCCCGACAATTGAGCCTCATATCAAGAAAAAAGTTAAGTAATAAAGCAAGATAATTTTATTTGAATAAATCTACACTCATATCAAAAATTAAATAGAGCTCTTACTCGTTAAAAATACAAATCTCTTGTGATTAAATGAAAAGTTGAAGCTAACTGCTGTAATTGTTCATCAAGATGTTCATATTTAACACGTTTTCTTACTTTTACACGTCCAGCTTGCAATTGTTCAGCAGTTATTAAGTTTGCATGTTGTTCCATCTTCAAATCTGTAATAGATTCATAGATTGATGGATTTTCTCGTGCTGAATTCTGAGCAGACGAGCAAGAGCCCTATTTAATTTTTGTATTGAAATTATTTCTTCCGGAGTTGGTGCGTGTATATGATCTGTTACTTTAACATATTGTGTACCATCAAAACATACACGACCAGCGCAATTGTTTTTGTAACAACACCAAATTGATTGAGATTTATTAGCACGTCGATAGCGAAACCAATCCAGCAAAAGCTGATCCTTGTTTCTGGAAGATTTTATAATTGACATTATACAACAATTATATAGCACCAGAATTAATAATGAAGATTAAATGAATTTCTACAAAATAACTGTTTGGAACACTTGTTCGTCTCCGTAAAGATGATTGTCTTAATCACAGAGGCAAACAACAGCGAATCATCAAGGCGACAAGATGGCGCATTCTGATATGGACTTTTTTCATTTCAATAATCGATGAAGGCTCAATTGTCGGGAGCTCAACTGTCGGGAGGCTCAACTGTCGGGGGGCTCAACTGTCGGGAGCTCAATTGTCGGAGCTCAATTGTCGGAGCTCAACTGTCGGGGCTCAATTGTCGGGAGCTCAACTGTCGGTGTACCTTTTATTTGTGTTGATATTTTTAAAAAATAAATAATATGTGCATTAGTTAAGGTTGCAATGTGAAAGCTATTTCGATTTCTTATACAGAATTTCTCTTTTTGAAATTGATTATCATATTTCTGACGAAAATAACGCTTTTCGTTTAATTTCGATCAAACATTTCCGAAGGTCGATGAATCTGAATCAATAAGTGATTTTGAAAAAATTTTCAGTTTGATATGTTCGTTAGGATAAGCCTACTTTTCGAAAATTCGATTTCAGATATAGTTTTGATGTCATGTTGTACAGGGCGTGGGTGTGGGTGTGGGTGTGGGTCTGGGTCTGGGTCTGGGTCTGGGTGTTGGTCTTGTAATGGTTACAATCACACTCACACATTCACTCACACCCACACCCACACCCTTATCACTATTGAAATCGTACCTGTGCAGCACAGCGAACAAGAACTTTGCTTCTTACAAATATAATTCTTCTAGAATATATGCATTGATTCATTTTCGCTTCATGAACTAATGGTGTAGCTGTCTGTCTAGATCTTGGTTTAGTGAGAGTAAAAAGAAGACCCATACCCACACCAAGACGGACGCTTACATTCACATCGCACTGACCTTATTTTATGAAAATAACTAAATTTAATACAAATTGACTAAAGATTTTTGGGACTGAAGCATTAGAATCTTTAGTTAGTCTCTTCAAATTCTTTACTTGATTTTTTTTCACGAGAAGAAGAATATTTTGAGAAAATGAACTTTTTTCATAAATTTTGACGATTGTTCTTCATGATCGATTGTAGGAAATAAGCTTCACATTCAGACTCTAGAATTTCGATTACTTTCGGTCAAACTTAATAAAATTCATTTTTCTCTCGATCTCGGGAGTGAAATGTTAAATGCATCTTTTTTTAGGCAAACTGATTATAGACTAGTCGCCAGTAAACAGTAAGTGATTATGAGTAACATAATACAACAATCTTCCAAGAGAATTCTTTAGTCCTTCAATACACCGATTTCTTGCCGAAAGTGCCAACGAATCCGTAAACCCAGCGGTTTCATGACGTTCTCAAGAGTATCGACGTGCGTCAATTTATTGTTGATCATGAAAAATCTTCTCTTTTGAAGTCTCTCGATTTATGTGAGACTAACACTCACATGAACACACGATCACGTTACAGCATGAGAGGTTTAGCAACTCAATGATGATGCCCTCAAAAATGAGAACAAAAGTTTCACTGTTATATAACAAAATGTTATTGCACAATCAACAAGAAATCTGTTATCTTTATAAACACATTTTCGTTTTGTCTCTTCTAAAGCACAAATGTCTTCATCATCTTCAATATGGTTAATAACGGTTGGTTGGTGTAATGCATCATATGTCGATTTTCTTGTTCGTTCATCGTCTGAATCCACGTGAAAAATAGATATTTATCATTGGTTTTTTGCCAATCTCCATAATAAAATTCTTCAACTTGATTATTCATCATTAGATAATATTGAGGGAGATTTAGATTTATCACTAATTCTCGACAAAAGTGTTGAACATGAAAATTTAAATATACGTGGTTTCGAAGATTTTATCGAATTAAATTTAGATGAAATTGAATTATTTATGAGAGAAAATGGTAGAATGCATGGAATGGTAGTCACTGTTCATCAAGCCAAAGAACACAACTATCATATAATCAATATTAATAATGACCAATCGACAATGGTATGGAAAGTATCATATAATATTCGTTTCTTAGATTGTATATCTAATAATAATTTACCAAATCTTTATGATGTACAACAAAATACAAGATCAAATTATATATGGCAAATATGTGCTCAACAAGAATATAAAGTCTATCAATATATTTTCAAAAATTTAGATCAATTTCATATTCGTAATTTACCAGCATTAATGAATAGAACACAAGAGGATTTAATCAAAATGGCTGAACAGCCTTTAGAACAAACAGATCATAAAATTATATCTGATATGATTGATATACAATGTTGTAAAATAAGAGATCTACATCAACACAATGAATCTGAACAACTAAAATATGTGATTTTAGTGGAACCATCATCGAATCTATTAGATATAATCAATATATAAAGGACTTCGAAAAGCTTCTTTTTTCTTGCATCTTCTTGAATGAATTGAACTGAAGTTTTTGAGGTACAATGCCTGTTTTTCGGAATGTACTAAAATAATTGCAATAGGAGCTTGTTCAAAGAATCAATGAGGATAAAAGAAACTATCCTTCCAAAATATTTACAATAACAAAAAGTTTGATCAAAAGTAAATAGTTGAGAATTGAAGCATGATATTTAAATATCAATAATGAGAATATTATTTATTGTAATTTGTCATTACCATGTGAGCATTGTAGATGAGTAGCAGCATGTGATGAACTTGTTTCTTATCGTTTCTATCTATCTCAAAAATATTGATTAACAATATAAATGAAAAATAATATATTTGCGTAAAAAATTTCATTTTCTGTATTAAAATCTATTGATACTAAAAATGGGCAAGCTTGAAGCGAAAGAAACATGTCGACATAAAATACTACCTTAACAATGGTTTAAACAAAACGATATTTCAATATTTTCATTTGACTCTATCGATATTTGGTACAATTAAATGTCGAGTGTGTGAGTATTTGAGGATGTGCGTATACAGGTGTGGGTGACTGTGTCTGAGCGCTGAATATGGTTGTGTGTGCAGTCTAATGAAGAGAAGGCCGTCATCACATCCCCAGTCACCGCGATGTACATCTATGCTTCCTCGTAAGCGTATGAGGTCTTTTACACCGCATGTGTACCAAGTGTGACAATAGGAGTACGGTTAGACTTTCGTAATCTCTGAAAGCAACTATTTCTCCTGCTGCATGATAGTGCCATTTATTCTGGTTTATCTTTTGTTTCTTCTTTAAAAAAAACTCAAACTTAGTTTGATAGACAAAATATTTTCTCTATTTTTTTATACTAGTGCTATATTGAGTTCATCTTGAAAATTAAGTCACCAATCGTAGAAGACTTGCTATTGTTTCGCATACTTACTTGCTCTTTTAATTTGTTTTTTTTCTTCATGTGTTGACGTTACACATCGGTAGACAATTTTGATGTATAGTTGGAAAAAGAAATATAACACCAGTGTTTCTAATGGCAGGTGTATAGACAATGAAAGCCAAACATTTATATATATAAATATCTGTAGTTGTGAAAATACTCACCACTGTAAAAAGAAGGGTGTATTTTGTAGGTGAAACTTTAAACCTACTTTCAGTTCAAAAATTATGTTTAAGCCATGAATATATTATGATGCACATTTGTATTTTTTCTGACTTTCCCATTTATCATATTTATGTCAACTTACTCTCAGTACTTATGTACGAACTGTACAATAACATTGAAAATTATGACTGATTCAATTGAGATTTGCTTATATCATACAAATGTTCATGACAACGACTACCCCTGTGATAGCTTTGATAGGTCTTATGATTGTTATGGATTGGTGAAAAAAAAATGAATCTTAGTTTAGAGTGAGGTGTGGGTGCGGGTATTGTTTCTCTCTTTACTCACACCCACACCCTTTTATCAATGTTGGATGCATAAACTATAGTTCTACCGAAATCCATGGCAGAATCAAAAGAGAAGTCCATTCACATATCTGTGAAGTTCTTCGAGGCAAGGTACATCTATTAACTATTTATTTAATCAGTTATTCCATCACATTACGATCCTATGAACTATAAAAGTTCAAGATTTTATGAAGCACTTCAAATATATTCCATTTAGGAAAAAATAAGAGTGATTTAACAGTAAGATCGACAGGCTTCACGACTTTTGAAGAAATGAAATGTGTTGATGAGAAAAAACATCAGTATTTCACCACTCATTGAACCCATCCGGAAGACAGCGCCAAGCCAAAATAATCCACTATTATGTTTGTATTCTTGTCGAATACGATTGGCTATGACTGCTCGCACATAGTTATATAATAGTTGTGAAATAAAGAAACAAGCTATGGCAATAATTGCACCGAATACTGTATCATGCAAAGGTGGACAAGGACTGAGAGCGGCTATGGTAACGACATAGACACTTGTACACGTCGCTATAAAACATAGGATAGTTATAGACGCTAACGCTAATCGGCTTTTACAGGTACGATTAATAATTATTGATAGTGGACCTGCTATAGGTAGAATAATCCTTGAAATGTAGAATGCAGTATGGGAATACGGTAGCATAGCATAAGTAACAATTGCCGGTAGAATGCCATGAAGAAACACATATGAATAATATGCAACAGCAAGTAGAGAATGATATAACTTTGTGCTCATTGGTTCGAATGATGGCTCGCTTTCAATAAGAGATGATTTATCTGTTGGTGAATTTAGTTCGTAAGTGTTCGATGATTTATAATCTTTAATTCGATATGAATCAGCAATCTTGGTCCATTCAAGAGTGAGAAAAGCGACAAATGATAGCAATACAATAAATGTCAAAATCCAGAAATAGACGTGAACAGGGAAACGAGGTTTTGAATATTCGATATTTGCCGAATTAAGTAAGCAGATTGGTTCACCACCTTTCCATTGAATCACCGCGAGGATGACTGGTATGAAGGAAGCAAGATTTTCACCAAAAAGGAGAGCATCCAATAGTTTCGTATTGTATCGTTTCATATAATCATAATATGTGATTGTCGATGTCGAACCGAGAGTGCCAAGAAGAAAAACGAAAAAAAATAGTAAAACAGAATGCTGAGCACCAAAAAGCCAACTTGTCTTATTCCAATATTGACCAAGTAGACCACAAGAAATGATTCCGATAATAATTTCGATATAGATGAAGATACGTTCGTCGAGATGTTGCTTGAAAATCAATTTGAGTAGAATGATAACAACCGGTGCCATTGTACTGATCGAAACAGCCAAACCAAGATAGGACGGTAAAGCCCAACCTTCAGGTACATGATTGATAATTAATGGAAGTTCAACCCCTACTCCAATGATATCGAGCCAAGTTGATAAGCCAAAAACAACAAAAAGAAAAGCCGTAATATGGATATTTTTATTATACATCATCTGATACAACTCTTTTCAATTTTGTAGAAGGAAATAATCTTAAACAAATCATAACAGTTTGTTAATGTGTATTTTGTTTTTCTGTTGGGCATGATGATACTAGAGTATTTGATTAAATACTGTTAGTTAGAATTCTTTTAGATCGCATCATTTCGAAAGCTAAACTAAACAAGACTTCAATTATATACAGTAGTGCAGAACCGCAAGTTTAGTTCTATTGAAATGAAGCTCTTTTGATCTACATAGAAAGCATTGTAGATCAAAAACTCGTACTTCAATGAACCAAACGCAAAACGAACAAGCTTCAGTTGAAAATTGTACAGGTCTCAAATGAATAAAATCTTCGAGTTCAACATGTATATTTATTCGAGTGTGTTGTCGAAAAAAAAAGAAAATATTTGCCTAAATTATTTCGGTTATACAATTAAAACAGCTGTTCTGATTGGCTGCTTTCAAACTATTCTAACTCTGAGATAAGGACCAAATATAAATTTGAAGAAAGGTAATTTGTATTAGTATTCGTTTTTTTTATGCTCTTAACTTAAAAAAAAAGTGGATTTTGTATACAGAATGACATAGGTAAAGTTCAAAAAGTCTCGATTAGGACATTTGCTCGGCGTAGACCTTTTACTTTCAACTTAATCAAACATCGTTATTGTAAGTTATTTTTTAGGCTAAATTGAGAACCAGTACCATAGAAACTAGTTTCTAAAAAAATCAACTGAAGTTTTTAAGTCTTCCAAAACTTGATGATTTTCCTAGTTTGCGAAGATTTGATGTTTCTAGACTTTCCCTATAGGAAAGCAATCATTACTATTCTTCATTTCGTCTACCAAAATTTCGTTCGAATGTCATCAGTACACAGACAATCATTTCAAAAATATTCTTTGTAATTTATATGAAGAAGAAATAAGACAAACTCTTGAATAAAAGCGAATGGTTTAGGGTAATAAGAACTTTCTGTGACATGCTGTTTTCATGCGCAAGTATCAATGTATTATTCTTCGAAATCTCTAGTACATTTGTAAGTTATACAGGAACTAAACTCAAGAAGAGACGAATATTGGGCAAAATTACATTAATCGTATACAGAAGAGCAGCTTGTGGAAGTATTTCTACAAGGAGACTACAGATATAAGATGATATTTATCTAAAGTATCAGCTGGAGTTCAAATATAAATATGAGAAGCTAGAATGAATGCAAAATTTAGTTTACTGCGCTATAATCATCAGTTCAAACCTTCATTGAATCTTACATGTCTCTCATACATAGAGGGCGTGGCAAATCTCAAACTGTTACCAGTTTCGGTTGAATGACTTAGTATGTGATATAATTGTAAAAATAAAATATTCAGTTTCTGATAAGCCGAAAACTATCATCGTACATCATATATCAGATATTTACTTTTGTATGAAAGTTTTCAGTTTCAATACATAACAAAGTAAATCAACTCATTCATCTATGTATATATATGAAAATTGAGCAAAGTGCTATAAACGATGGTTGTATGGCTGATAGTATTTGAGTTTTACCTGATATATTGTATGGAACTTGTTTTGATACGTAATGCACTTACCTGTAATCTATGTAGCTGAAAATCCGTGAGATTTTTATTAAAGTTTAACATTCAGTGACTGTTAGTAATAATGTTGATCTGAAGATGTACTGATTTCATCGGAAAGCAAACGTTTTGATGAATATTGATGTTACTTATATCAATGAGTCGTTGTGATGATGCTTTGTGCAANATACCCAATCTTCCAGCATCAAGTGTTCATTGTAAAGATAATTAAAATAATCAACATGAATCCTTTGAACCAAATGAAAATTTAATGAAATGGTTACATCAACATATACCATCGAAATATACATATTCAATCAAAAGAAATTTATATAATATTCCTCGTATTAATTTATGGATTTAGAAAGCATCATTGAATCGAGAAAAAAAAATAGTTGTAATTAATTTTTGGTTTTCAATTGTAATAAACTTTTATATAATACTCTAAAAAAGATTTGTTTATAATAAATAGAAAAAAAATGAATTATATGCCAACTTCTTTGTTTTCTCCAAGTGAATCCTTTTCTACTTATTGCATGAAACCTCGATTCGTTGCTTTTTAGAATTTATACCCGCGCGGAAAAACAAAAAAACTGATATATTGAAAAAGTTTCAATTTTAATGTGCTAATACGTAATCGACATCTTCTTTTATATCACATTTGAAATTATTGTACTGTCGTGAAAACAACTGAAACGCGGAAGAAATTTCTTGTATAATAAAGACTTGTGTCTGAACTCTCAGATATAAAATTGTCAAGAACCAAGTACTGAAATTTTATGAACCAACAGAACTAGCACGGATTTCAAGTTCATTGAAAACTTATAATTAAGTCTTTAGTCATTCATAATCATTATTGGAATATTATCCATAGAATTTATTTTTTTGCATACATTATAACTTACAATCATGAGTGTACAAAAATTACTTAGTATGGAAATTGCATTTGACCTTGATAAATATATTAACAACTAGTGTGACAATCAGAATCAGTTAATAATATACTAATTTTAAATACTACCATATAGATAGCTCTTTATTTTCTAATAATGTTGGCAGTTATAATGATTATTTCAAAAAGAAAACCTCCCAATAGAAAAATTATCTTTGTTGGTTTTGATTCTTATATATCAACATGTCTATTTCAAAACTTCATAGCTTTTCAAATGTATATTATATAGAAATTATTGAAAGTTCAATGTTAAAAAAAAACATTAGTATTTATATCGATCAAGACAGTCTGATACTTTGCAAACTCTTTTTTTATTTTTATATTCATATATATGATTGTATAAAACTTTCATTATATTACTGATCATGAAATCCATTAGAGAACAAGTCATTTAAAATGCGCATAGATTTCATTAGATTTTTATCGCGTATGTACATGTGGTACGATGAAATGGCCCATCGAAGCTTAACTACTTAAGTAAAAATTATTCATGAGAAAAAAAAACGAATGACTGTGAGAATTTTTATGGCTTTCACTTGCTTAAATAGCAACTTTTCGAATTCTTCACATTTTCTGAAAGAAAATACGGCTTGAGAGCACAATATTTGTTTTTAATTGCAGTCGAAACCAATAGTAGACTGTGGCAATAGTTTGATCAGTTGCATTTTCTTTTGTCCATGTATTATGGTAGCAACAAAACAAACTGCATCTACCAGTCAACATTCGAACAGAAAGAGCTCAAGTACAAATAACATAATCATTAATATAAATTAAACACAGTTATCATCATAGTCTCACAACAATTACATAACATTCAAACCAATCAATTGCATTTGTTATGAGTGACCGGTAAAGTACGATTCTTAGTTGCAAAGTATAATACTTTGCTTTTCGATAACTAATGTATTGAAATGTATCATAACAGACTTATAGAGAATTTTTTTTAATAATAAATTTGTTCAGAATTGAGAAAATAAAATTGGCTTGCGAATGTAAAAACAAAAGTGCAAACATTGATTTGACTGAAGTGTGAAAAACAGTGTCGAAAGAGAATGATAATGTTTGCACGATTCAATCATAGAAAATAGACTAAAAGTAATAGATAAGATAGCATTAATGTTTGCAAAGTCCTTCTATTTGAAAATAAACGTATTTCATTATATTTTACTTCTGTTTCTCAGAGAAATAACATCGACTTCTAATGATTCACAAGCTCAGATATCGAAACAAATAAATGATACTTCTTCTCCTTCAAGCACAATTATTCACTCAATTGATGAAACTCTTCAGCGTCATCATTCTTCTCAATGCCGTAGTCGAAGAAATACACGTGTTTCCATGGATCTCTCATCAAAAGGAACACTTTCATTTCACAATATTAGTTATGTTATCGGTCAACGACAAATAAATAGTCGATGTAAAAATTGGTATCCATCTTTCATAAAATCTAAACCAAAGAAACAAATTATCGATGATGTTTCTGGTATTTTTGCATCAGGAATGAATGCTATCATGGGTAAGAACTCATTGTTTGAACTAAATTTAAAAATAACTTCAATAGTGAAGCACTTTTCTTTATATAAACTTGAATATTGACATTCTCAATCTGGCTATTGTATTTTGTTAGTTTAAATATTTTGAGTAGCCGTTCTGAATAATTTTTTATGTTGAAAATATTTCATTATGTATAATTTTCTCAAAATTATTCTTAAGTCAATAATATATGTAGGACCAACTGGTTGTGGTAAATCATCTCTTCTTGATATATTGGCTTATCGCAAAGATAATCATGGTGTTTCAGGTCAAGTATTCATTGATGGATATCCACCACCTTCATCATACAAATATATTGTTGGTTATGTCGTTCAAGATGATATTATCAGTGGAACACTTACTGTACGAGAAAATCTTATGTTTTCAGCGAATGTTCGTTTATCTGATGATGTTTCCGACAAGGAACGTAAAGAACGTGTAACAAAAGTTATTCATGATCTTGAACTTGAAGCATGTGCTGATACAAAAATAGGTACTGAATTTTTAAGAGGTGTATCCGGTGGAGAACGAAAACGAACATGTATTGGTATGGAACTTGTACTTTCACCAAAAATACTTTTTCTTGATGAACCGACTACAGGTTTGTACTAGAGAAACTATTTAAATTTTATTTCATTAGATGAACTCCAATGAGATTTTTAACTTAATGAAAATTCTTCTTAAGAAAGTAATCTTCCTTTGATATAAGAAAAATAAGATGTTTGAAAGTGTTCTATTAGATTACACTAAATTCTATAAGTTAAAATATTCCTATGTAGGACTAGATGCATCTACAGCTCGAAATGTAATGGAATGTTTGAAAGAATTATCGAAAAGTGGACGTAAGTTTTTGTTTTTCTTATGACGACATAATTATATTCTTATATTTAAAAATTGATACATTTCTATAACAAGGTACAATCATTTTCTCTATTCATCAACCTCGTTACTCCATATTCAAACTTTTTGATACTATTCTTCTTATGTGCAAAGGAAAAAATATTTATCATGGTTCTGCTTTAGCTGTACTCCCTTTTTTTAATATGCAAGGTTATTCATGTGAATTACATGATAATCCAGGTGATTTTGCATTGGACGTTCTTATTGATGCAAGTCGACAACCTGACAATATAGACAAATTGAACAAAGCGTATATGAAATCTCAGATATATGCAAATATAAATTCTTTATTGAAAAAGCAAATGAATAATGATGGTTTGGAAAAATTTCGTCGAAAAGAGCAAGGAGTAGCAGCACGTTCACGAATTACAGAAATCTATTATGTATCACAACGAACATTAAGAAATGCTATAAGAAATCCTGAATTATTTCTATCTCAAGTAGTAGTTGCCATTATCATGAGTCTATTAGTAGGATTAGTCTTTAATAATATGGAAAATACGATTGATCCTGGAGTACAGAATCGTTTAGGAGCTATCTTCTTTATTGTTGTTAGTCAAATATTTAGTACTATAACAGCACTTGAACCATTGATTAAAGAACGTGTCTTATTCATACATGTAAATTTTTGTTTCTTTCTTGATTGATATCAACGAATGATGAATTATTGTTTTGTTTTTTTCTGTAGGAAAATATCAGTGGTTATTATCGAACGACGACTTTTTTCATTGCTAAACTTCTTTGTGATATATTACCAATGAGAATCATTCCATCAATAGTATTTTCATTGATTGCATATTTTATGACAGGTTTACAAAGAAGTGCTGGTCAATTTTTTGTTTTTTTTCTTACTATTTTTATGGCTTCAATATTTGGATCAGCAATATGTTTCTTTATATCGGCTACTATTTCTACATTCGGTAAGTTTATTATTTCTTTAGAACATTCATTGATTATATGAATAAATTTCACTTTATTTTGTAGCTGTGGCTCTCATTGTTGTTGTACTTATCTTTGTCATTATGTTCTTATTTAGTGGTTTTCTAATTTCCTTGGATAGTATGTTCAAAAGTCTTTCTTGGATACAATGGATTAGTGCTGTTCGATATGCATCGAATGTATTAACTGTGAATGAATTTCGAAATATTAATTTTTGTCTAGCTAATCAAACTGATATTTGTCCGATGAATGGTTCGGAAATATTAATAAAACAAGCAATGGATTATGCTACAGTTTGGGATATGTGGAAATATTTTTTTGCATTAACTATGATGGCTGTTACTTTTCTTCTATTGGCTTATATTCAACTTTTCAGAATCAAGAAAAGCAAATGACTTGAAAGAATTATTATTTAATTTTTAAATAGAAAATTTTCTTTCTTTAATTCAAAGATGATTACTTTTTCACTTTAACTTCGATTAGTAATGTCTATTATTCGAGTTCAAGACAATCAGATCAATTTGAGACAGTTGAAAGCGTTCTCGAATAATGACCGGCTGAAAAAAAATCCGGAGAAAAAAAAAACACACAACAATGTATTTGTTGAGTACATGCAATTGAGTCAGTTATGTATAGTTGTACACGCAAAACAAAATAGTGAATGCATGATAAGCACATGGACTATGGCACATTTTATTTTGATGTCTATTAAGTAGAGTACTGCGGGACAGTCCCGAATCCCGTTTGTCCCGTCCCGTGGGACAATCGGGATTCGGGACAATATAGAAAAAACCTCTGTCCCGAATTTTTTATCCAAAAATGAAATAGGCTAGTATTTATTTGAGCAATAATTGAAATATAATCTAGCAATAATTTTCAAGCAATAAAAAAACTTTATTTGAGCAATTTTATACTACTAAACGTACAATAATAAATTCATTAAATAGCAGTAGTCATTTCATATTTTAGGAATAAAAAAAAGAGAAACTACATTCTTGTCAGTTACAAATGAAAATAAAAGAAAAGAAAAATGAAAACGGAGTATATTATTATGTCAATAAAGCTTTTTTTTTTACTTTAGATGGTCTATGTCTTTTTCTTTTTGTATCTATTTTCACATTTTTTGTCTCTGGTGGAGGTTTACAATATTTTAACCTGATGGATATACCAATGATGTGCTTGCAAATATAATTTTAAGGAATGATCGGCATTTTTCTTTCCTCTCATATATATCTGATGGACTTTTCCTTTCTTTCTGTTTTTCTTGCTTTCATGCTGTTCCATGGATTTTTCTTTCGTTGTTCATCATCTATGGGATTTTCCAGCACTTGCCATCGCCCTATATATAGCGTTACGTTTCTTATATGGATGCAGATATAGGAGATATACATAGACTGATACATATATACATACGATGAGATTGAGATCTCAAACCCTTTTCATATAAAATTTACTTTCAATTTAAATAAATTATTGCTCGTTCAGTATTATTATTGCTAAATTTAATTATTGCTCAATTAAATATAAGTCTATGAAATAGAGTACTGCGGGACAGTTCCGAAACCCGAAAAATCCCGTTTGTCCTATCCCGCGGGACAATCGGGACTGTTCCGAAAAATTTTCGGGACGGGACAAGCGGGATTCGGGACACGAGAAAGTTTGTCCCGCAGATCTCTACTATTAAGTCGAAAGACTGGATATAATACGACTTAATCTATGCAAAAAATCGATAATTAAATGAAAAGCTAATTTGAAGATAATATTAAAGATAAATAGAATACTCTTGATACATTTCCTATTTGGTAATAATATTCATCGTGTTTTTTATTATATAGATTCTCTCGTAATGATCATATATAGAACATACGGTCATACATAATATAAAAGACTTCATCATGTTTTGCGCATTAATAGAATGAGAAAAAAATGATAATGAACTGCGATTGTCAATACAGACAATGTCGAGAAAATATATTCCAATAATTTCCATAGATATTGATTCAATGCATCAAGAAAAATTTCACCTCACTGAAGATTCAAGTTTCGTTAATATTTGCATTTATACTATATAAAAAGTATTTTTACTGTCATATATTTTTCTTTTTGATGTATTTTGCAAAATAAGAATGATTCCATATGACGGAAAAAAATGTGTTTTATATAGAAAGCATTAAATCGAATAATCTTCGTCGACAAAATTATATCTTTATATTAGCGACACTGGTGTATCTTTTCTATTTGCTATTTGTCATTACGTCTACAGCAAGAAACAAACTATTATAGAGCAAGTAAAAGAACGAAAAAAAAAACAAGGAAGATTGGTTTCCATTAATCATATTTATAATGCACGAAAAATTTATGTGAACTAAAAAAAAGACAAAAAATGCATCTCGAATATTTAGCCAATGAATTATTACTTGATTTATTTCAATACATTGATATTATTCATCTTTTTCATGCTTTTCATGGTCTTAATACTCGTTTTAATAAACTTCTTATTACTAAACTTACATCTTATAATCTGGATTTTCGATCTATATCCAAATATAATTTTGATAATGTTTGTCAAAAATATTTACCATTGATTATTAATAAAATAATATCATTTCATTTATCCGATAATGATGAAACACCAAATCTATCAAAAATATTTCTTTCTTATGGTTTTACTATTAATCAATTTATTAATTTAAAATCATTTTCATTGTATAATATTCAATCATTCGATATATTTAATCAATTAATAATTCAATGTAATCATCTTCCTTATTTAACACATCTAAATATGATTAAATGTTTTTTTAATTATCGTGAAAATGAAATAAAATCATTAATGAATAATATTTGGAATCTACCAAAATTGACTCATTGTATATTAGATCAAATTACATCAAGAAAAATTTCATTAATAGATATTAATGTTATTTCATCATCAATTAAATATTTAACTTTAGAAAAAATTACTTGTGATTTTAAAGATCTATATCATCTATTTCAATATACATTATCACTTAAACAAATATCAATTAATCTAATATATGGTTTTCCTAATCAACAATTGAAATCTTCTATAACATCAATTATTTCATTAAAAATTTTATATCATGGTTGTATTAATATGTTAATGAATCTTTTTCAAAATTTACCAAATTTAATTTATTTAATATTAGAAACATTTGATATTTATTGTAATGGATATGAATGGGAAAATATTCTTAGTAATTATTTATTAAAACTTAAAATTTTTCATTTAAAAATGAATTTAAATTTTCCTAATAATGATAATATAAATCAACAAGCTAATGAATTACTCAATACATTTCGAACTAATTTTTGGCTTATAGAACATCAATGGTTTGTTCGATGTGATTGGGATCCATTGAATATATTTAGTTATGGTATTCTATATACATTACCCTATAATTTTGATGATTGTTTTTATTTTGATGCTGTTTTATCTAAATCAACTTGTCCTATAAATACAGATTATTGGTCATATGATCATGTATCAATACTTTCACATAAAAATCCTGAAAATGATTTATCAAAAGATTTAATTATTTTTTCAGCTCGATTTTCCAAAATACATCATTTAAAAATTAGTTTTCCATTTGATGAAAAATTTTGGTTATGTATTCCATTATTAAATCGATTAACATCTATCAATATAACATTTCTATCTACAGACTATTCATATTCACAATTACAAAATTTACTTAATCGAACATCACATTTATATTCTTTAAAATTATCTAATTCAAAAAATTTATCAATGAGATTTTTCACAATAACAAATTCGTCAATTCGTCGACTTAATTTTATAACTAAATCTAAGTCATATACTCGATATTTTAACAAAGATGAATGTTCTTTATTAATTAATTCATCGATCATACTTCAATGTGAAGTTCTTTTAATTGGTATTAAAAATCGATCAAGTATTATTGAGTTTATTAACATAATGCCTAATATTCGATCATTAATATGTCATTGTAAAGATGATGAATATAATACTTGGAGCTCGTCATCAACACATGATGAACTCATTGAATGGTTACAAAATCGTTTACCATCGACTTATTTGATTAGTCGAGATGAGAAACGAACATGTCTTATTCAACTTTGGATCGATCGAAAATAGTTTAATATATTTTTTCATTAGTATTGATTAACAGTATGCTAGTTGTAATATATTTATGATTTGTTTTTCCATTTTTCTGATTAATCAAAGTATTTCTAGACAATCTGAATTATCTACTCGATGGAAGTTGTTATAATTGAGGACAAAAAAATAATTCTAGTAGATTTGATAAAGAAAAGATTAACTTTTATTTTCGTATTTATAAAACTATCAAACAATCAATATATTTCATCATTTTCTATCAGTTAATTTGTTTATTTCATCAAAATAATGTATGCACAACAGGTTTAAATTCATTGTTATTGTTATTCCTGCATAGGTAATATGAGAGAAAAGAAAAAAAGGGGAAAATTGTCTTTTGATTACCAAAATGTGCTTGTTGTGAAATGATCACCAAAAAACGATACTTCTGATCACCAAATTTCTAATTTTGTGGCAATCATCATGTTGACTCGTATCACCACTATCTTCATGCACATGTCTAGTTGGTCTCAAAGAATACCGATGTAAACATTCTATTGAATTAGCTATATTATTCAATATGTATCAAGTTGCAGATCAAACATGTTCTACACCATTGGGAAAAACGAAGGATCGAGGACGACCAAAGAAAGTTCGAACGGTATTATTACCATAATATTTTTTTGTATTGTTTCTATTTCTATTCCTTGTTCAGATCTGTCTAATATTGTTGTTTTTTTGGAGTTACTATTGGTATAAATATATTTTCTCTCGCTAGTTGTTTTGTTTTTCTATCATTAATAAATTTAGTGATCAAATCTATATTTTTTGGTGATCAAAAATATTCATACCCCCAAAAAAAAGTGTGTTAGTTTGATTTCATAGAACAAAAACTAATGAGGAAGATGGTTTCCAAGTTGACAGAAGCAAGAGAAATTGGTATTTTTGAAACATAAATAACAATATTTGAAAAGTTCTATTATTGTTTGACTTAGCATTGTATTGGAAACAAATAATCGATCAATTGCAAATCATTAGTAATAATGTTGAAGTACTCAATGATTCTGATGTATGTATTGATTATATTCGTAATTTGAAAAATGAACATACTCTCTTGTTCTTGTCTGAATTAATAACATAAATATATAGATGAAACAAATTAAACGTAATATTTATGAAATCAAAAACCAACTTATTGAATTAGAAATTATTAATGTATCGAACATTTCTTTATTCGAAAGCAATCGAATTACTTCTCACGTTCAAGAGATTAAACTGTTTTAATACAATACAGAGAAGTATGTTTCGGTTCGATATGAACATCTCATATTTTTTTTATATGTTTGCTTATGTTATCAAATCGTGAATATGAAATAATTATGTCCAAGATCAAATAATAAAGGTTTTCTATCATCTTTGATATCTCATATGGGTTTTTAGAAAAACAATCTAAATCATTGTGTTTCTGTGACACCGACTATGAATTCTTTCATCGGGAGAATAATTTGAACAATAAAATAATGATTCTTTTGAAGCAATGTAGACAAGCAAACAACTTTTCAATAGATTTTCTCCAGTTAAGTTATGCGCTCTATTTCTACTAATTGATTATATGACTTCAGGGACATTGAAGAATGAAAAGTGAAATCTTACTCCTACGTATTGTGCATTCTTTTCACTAGATTGATATGCAATAAATTGAACAATAGAGAGTAATGAAACAATGATGTATCGCTATTAATTTATGTGTATGCACTTGTTTTTTTTTTCTATATTTCACGCATCACAATCGGTACTTTTACTTTTGACCGTGTAATAGAGTTGATATTTTGATAGAGAATATTGATAAAAAAAATTAGTACGAATATCATTCGTAAAATGAGTCTCCACTAAGTTTTAACTCGCAACCTTATTATTATCTTTTTTAAATATGTGTGTGTTCTCCGTTTGAGCCTATTATTATCTATTGTAAATAATTCGGTATTTTTCTCTGATTTATTAATATTTTATTACCGTCAATTGTTTCCTATTGTTGACATATCAATAGAAAAACATCGACCGTGACAAAATATGAACAATTTAGAAAAAAATATCGAATCAATTGCAACAAATTACAGATTCAAATAAAGATAATAAAATTTTCATCTCATCAAATGTGCCCAAGCACTAAATTTTAAACTTCAGCATTGACTAAATATATGAATCAACAAGTCTTTTCATTATGTCGACACGAGTTTTAAGTAGGACACGAAATATATTCTCCCAAACATGAACATCGATTCCAATGGTGAGAAATTATTTTCGTATTATTTAGTTCAAATTATCTTTCTATACCAGTGAACCCTGTCAACAATGCTTTATTTTACTTATTTGATTAAGATCAAGTTACTTAGTCGATCGCTTTTTTATTAGAAGAAAACGACAAAACAAATTTTTCAATAGCATCATTCAGGTAGGTAAATCGTACATTTTCTATCGATTCATGTCGTTTCTACTAGGTGCCAATTTCGTCTAAAACGTACTCACATGAATCAAATAATGTCTAGTTCAAAAGTAGGACAGCAGCATTTGAAAATTAGCGGTACTGAATTAGTAACGTAAGATATCGAAGTGTTATCATCTTTACTTTCCACAAATATTTTAGTATCAAATGAGTTGAGTAATGACATTGTTCAGAATTATGAAGAAGAATCTCAACAATCGCAAGTTATTCGAGTCAGCATTCGAGTTACTTTTCTTCGCATTGGTAGGTATTATTCTAGATCATTTGTATTGATCACATTTGATTATTTCTACTGATTAGGTGAAATCGATACATTGAATGAAAGATATCAAGCACAAGCAGCCATCGACTCTCGATGGTTGGTCAATTACGATAGTCTGACATGTGAGCTATCACGAGATGATCAACAGCGTTTAGACAAAGGTAAATCAGTATCTCTTGTCAAATATGCCGAATCTCATTGGCATCCTCAATTATTTATCGAAAATACACTTGGAGATGTCAACGAACAAATTACTTACAGTGCCAAGAAATCAGTCAACCAACTCGTCTATGTTTGCGAACATCGTGAGATTAAGGCGCTATTCTGGGAGAAACTAGAATTATATCATTTTCCATCTGATGTTCAAGAATTGTCGATTTCCGTTGGTTCAATGTTTTATGATGATAAAGTTATTTTGATGGCTGATCCTTTGCGTTCGAGTGGCATTAATCGTGAAACATTTGTTGATCAACAAGAATGGTTTTTGTACGAGCATGTAAACACTGAGCAACGTTTTGTGAAAGAATTTTTCTTAGACAATGATGACGATGAAGATGAAGAACAATCCAAAGGACAAGATGAACGAAAACGATCGTTTTTAGTAGTCTCGTGTCATGCAGGTAACATGAACTATCGATAGAGTAATAGAGATTCACGAGTGGCAACTTTATCTAAAGTCGAAAAAAAGCGTGTTTCTTTGTCGTTGCTGAGTACATCGAGACTTAACAATGATGTAGATTAGTGACTATTGTTAGAAATTTAACAATTTGTTATAGCAGATTTAAAGACCTTAATTTACTATTTGCCTTATATAGCTCGACAATCGGAATTTTTTTATTGGAATGGCTTTTGTCTAATGTGTCTTATTACCATCTGTGGTTTTTGTATATTCTGCATTCCACCTACGTAAGAAACGTTCATACTATCTCTCATATATCAGGATGAAAGACATCTTATTTAGACTGCCGCAGAATCGTCTCCAAATTGGCGTTACTCTTCTTCTTACGTCGATCACTTTTCGCTGGACAGTCAATCGATCCCTCGTAGGCATGCTTACTGTATTGTTTTGATCGATGACTCATGTGTATATTTTGTCTGTTTAGCCTACAATTTCATACCTGACATCATTAGATAAGTACTCAATCATATCTATATTTATGTTAGTAATCTTATGTGTCTGGCATGCCACCATGGGAGCGATAGTGTTCATAGCGAAGCACTATCCAACAGTCGACACCACCGATGAGTTTGTACAAATCGATCGATACGCATTTTCTGCTTCTCTCGGCATCTTTTTAATCATGCATGTAGTTATGTTAGTGTGGCTGTATTCAGTTCCACTTGCGTATCGACGACAAATGCAACGGAAAGATGAAGAATATCGACTCCGAAATAGAGTAAAGGCAAAGTCTTTACGAGGCGAATTGGCTTATCATACTAATTTGCAAATGAATGGCAATGGTCACATCTCTTCTAATGATAAACGACAAAGGAACTAGTGATATTAAGTATGCAAGGTAACCAAAAGTTGATTCAGTGACATTGAATTCAATAAAACTTGAATATTTCATGTAATTATATTATATCACGCGTTTAACTCAATAAAATAATCCTAATTGATCCATTGAAAATATTTTGTACTTTTTTTGTGCATGCTGCAAAGTGTCAAAGACAGAAGATTCTAGAAGGGTGTGGGTATGTGTAATCTTTTCTCTTCATCATCATCCTTATTATAAAAACAGCCTTTCTAAAAAATATGAATTATATTCCCAGAAAATTTTATCATTGCTACACATTCAAAAGAAAATCGATAATATCCGACTCTGTCTAGTTGTAAAAATTAACTTTTTTCTTCATTTTGAGACCTAACTCAGCTTTCTGGCATTCAGAATGACGACGACATCCGTGACGAGTAGAAACACCAAAATTAGAAACTACACTGTAAAAAAGCTCAAAATATGTGTCGATACTGTATTTCAACACTTTTTCCTTTATAAATGGATATAAGAAAAAATATCGAGCAGTTTTTCATAGATCTTGAGTGTGTGGATGTGCGTGCATAGCAGACCAATACATCAATCCATATTCACACCATTAGATACATATGATGATTTATTCATAATTCAAAAGAAACTAGTGCAAAACGTCGGAAAAAACGAATTCAAATGTTTCTATATCACCAACTACTGAATGACAAGGAAAACGTTGAATAGAAAGACAAGTGTCCAGTCGATGGTGATGATTGACATGGCAGACGTGGTAGACACTCGTTTTGCCTGACCACGACAACTCATATCATTTTGAAGGATAAAATCGAGTTGACGACTGTCTGAACTGAGTTTCATCACATGCACTTGATTCAATAATGGCATTGTTAGAGAGAAACCATTCGGCATCACTGTTGTTTGATCGATAGTCGATGATTCAGTCAAACAAAGTCCGGTAAATTGACCCCGAATACGTAGTGAATTGGGTTGATCACTAACTATATTGATATCACTTGTCAAACAGCAACATTCGTCTACGTTGCATCTTTGTGTCATGCGAAATAGACCGACCCAATTGGGAGTACCGGATGCTCGTACTAATAAATTATCATTCAAACATCGATGCAAGATACGCATTCCTGGTTTTGTACAGGATGAATCAATTTTTGTTTGACATATTCTTTTACACCATTCACAAGTAAAGGCAGAGAAGTTACCTCTTATCAATGGTGCACAATCATTTTTGGTACAACATTCGCAACTGCAACTTAATCCATTAGATGATGACATACATGTCATAATGATAAGAATAATGATTACCAATATTGTTTTATCGCACATGATAAGTGGAGTGAAACACAGAGGAATTAAAGAGCAAGCGGACATGCCGCTATTTTTATACTATTATTGAAGAATAAAATGTGTCACATATCTGGTTTCTTTTTAAACACTTATGCCGGGCAAATGTAAAGCAAAATATAATATTACATTTCCCTTCTCTACAAACGCTAAAGTGAGACTCGAAAATCTCTTGAGTGAAATCAAATAGGTTAATTGATATTAGTACTCGCAAGGTAACTATTTCTATAATCGGACGAAGATTTCATAGAAGACGGTACAATTAGTAGAACAACTACTCATACAATTTTTGTTCTAAAAAGAAACATTTCAATTCAATTCCAAATAGATCATAGCAAAGAAATGGCAATCCCAATGATATCAAATTATCATGAAAATGCAGTGAACACTTGTCAATCAGTGATAAAAATAGATTCGTCTCATATTTCCTACATGTCTTCTGATCTTTGATTTTTCGATTTTGAGAAATTGAGAAGTCAATATTTTGACCCCAAATAAAAATTTCTCACGTTTCATTGATTTTTTCTCTTGTTAGAAGAAGACGAAGAACGGCTTGTCCACGTAACGCGACACTTCGCTGATCAAGTTTTGAAAACATTTTTTTTCGAGTTGGACAAATCTGAATGAGTTACTAGATGCAGTTTTTAACGCTGATTACGAATTTGACATTTATTTTGTAAAAAAGTTAGGTTTTAGAATGGAAAACCGGGTTTTAAACTTGTGAAAAATCATATTTTGAATTTTTTAACCAAAAAAATTTTTGAAAAAATATTGAGAGACATATCATTCGATGCAGAATTTAATTCTCTACAAAATGACCTATTTAGTTTTGACTTTCGTAAGTAAAGACAAATTGCAGACTCTCACACAATTTCCAACTTACTGTCCGGTTATGAGGTCTCGGATCGATGTATCAATCTCATTCTTATGTAGAACATTATCTACACGGAAATGAGTAACATTTATAAAAAGCAAACCATTCTACACATGTTAAGTGCCTCAAAACTGGTCCACAAAAAGCTGTGTAACAGCGTTACGTTTGTATTTAGCATTTTTCATCTGAACAAAATTGCTTTAGGGAAAATCTTTTTTACTGTTTAAAAGCTTGTTCGATGCTGTACAAAACTGACTCTGGAAAGTTTTCATTTGGAGAAATAGTTTCGCTAGAAATTAGAATTTTCTCGGCGGTACTGGAAAAAAGGGGTCTTTTTATGTAACAGCGTTACGCGATAATAAAACCTTTCTAGACGTTCGAGACTTCAGCCGAAAAACGTCGTTCTTATAGCATAAATAGGATTTGATAAGTTGTGTCGAATGACGTTTGAATGAACTTTCTAGCTGTTAAACCTTCCGAGTTAATTGAAGAACAGTGTGTCAAAAACGTAACAGCGTTACGTTTGGACAAGCCGAGAAGTTGAATACAGACATACATTATAACCATTCAATGCTGGTGCTCACGGTCGGTTAAAAATGGCATCGACCAATGCAACACAACATCGTATTAATACTTTAAATCAACGTTATACAAATAGTGAAATTGATTTTAATCAATTATTAGATGTTTTATCATTAACTGTAGCAAAGTAAAACAAATATACTTTACTATCTGATATACATCCTTACTTTTGCATCACTTTTGTTAATTCCTCTATTCCACAAAATATTACTTGTGTGTAAAGTCCATTGGATCTGAGTCCAGAAATGTTTAAATCCGATGTAATCTAGCCACTAAATATTAATCAATCAAATTCAAATTCAAGAATTTTGATCGACCCGGTCTGAGTTCAAGGATCTTTTAGTCAGGTTCAGAAATTCTTGAACCTGATGGACTCTAGTTGTATCTGGCTTTTAAAAATATTTCTCTCTTTTCGAAACATTAGTGAAGTTATTTACATCTAAATAAACTAAACTATAGTTCAATGTTGTTTTTTCGACATTTTTTGCTTCGACCTTTTTTATGCCATTCTTCCTTACAACTATGACCACCTGTAGCTTTGAACAGAAAGCCAATCTGATGCAAAGTTCTTCCACTCAATTTCTTGAACTTCCCATACACACTAACTAACTACATTCACTGGCCACAATAGCAGGTGTATGTCACAAAGTGAGGGTGCGGGTGTGGGTGTGAATATGTAAACGAAAAGAAGATTCATATTCACATTCACACAACAGCCACACATCTCACACTCGTGCCCACGTCTGTATTTTTCTAATTTTATCAAATTATGAATAATATTTGGCGACTCTTATTTAACCCACACCCACACCCTGCTTACACGAAAGTTGTTCAGGATTCAAGAATCTCCTATGGTGATTTCGGAACGAATGAAAGATGCTTCTGACTGAGAAAGTCGTATTTTCACCTGTTTATGCGAAATCACCCATTGTGAAGCACTTACAAGACTTTGAAATTTATTTTCTTTTAGAGAAATTTTCGTTTACATTGTTTTGTTGATATGTCTGTGGTAAATAATTCTAATTATTGTAAAGAAATGCATCTATCGATCACGCTATGCTCGATTTACGAGTATATATACATTTGATATTATGTCACATTTTTTTTTGTCTCTTGTGCACGATCGCTTATGTAATGAACAAGTTCTTGTCTGGAAATAGTGGCAATTATTATGTGATATTGATTTTCAATCATGTTCCTATTTCATAAAATTTTGTCGTACTTTCTAAGAACCTAGAATGCAGTCAATATATTCACAAATACTGATATTATGCTAACACATTAAGTCAGGTTCATTTGTTTGCTTCACGACTATTCTTCTAGAAACATGCATTGCTGTTGAGTATGTAAATTTTTTTGTTTATCTCCATTTTTCTCCCTGTTATAATAAATAAAAAAAAAAGGCTGATGTGCGTCCGCACCCTTTTTGCTAGGTACAAATTAAATAAAAAAAAATGTTGCTTCTTTTTTGATCAATAACAAATAATAAAAAATAAAAAAAAAAAGACGTGCATCATCAACATACTCACAAATACTTGCAGAAACGAACAATTTTCTGCGTAAATCATGCTCCACGAAAGCATCTCAAGTGTCTTGCTTTCTGAAGCTTCGACCAGGTATGATCTTAAATTAACCGCTACCTTGAAACATATTTACTTACTCGACAAATAAATAGTAGAAGAAAGAAAAATAGAAGAAAAAAATATAATATAATATAGATAAAAAAAATTGTTTAACTCATTCAATCTTGTCCTTATCAAATATTGTCACCAGATCAGTGTTGAAGAGACAAAATCATATTAATAAACATGCAAATGAAATATAATTAACAATCTCATTTTTTTTTTACAATGGTTTAGTCATTTCGTTTATAAATGCATAATATATCATTTGAGAATGAAATATGTGAATAGATTTTATTACTATTTGGGATCCCCTAATGCACCATACTATGTGATGAATTTATTGCTTATACATTAAAACACTGGTAAAATTCGAATGGATAATAAAATATTCACTAGCATTTTCTTTGACACATTGAATGAGTTCACATCTGTCACCTTGTTTGAAAATCACACTTGTGTGTATACGACCTTCGCATTTGCTTAGAAAAATAACTGTCTGAGAGAACATTTTAGTGTATGCATTTATTTTGAAGACAAATCTATCGACAATGAAAGGAAGTTTGTCTATATTTCCATTTCATAATTAATAAGAGAATAACTATTGAATTAAATATTCAAGAAGATGATAAACGTCAAGTTCTGTAAGTAAATTTGATAACAAAATTTTCGTGGAATTAAAAATATTTGAGAAAAGCTATTGATAATTTTGAAAATGTATGAAATTTAGATTCAGTTCTAACTAAAATAATTATTTTTATTAAAAAAAATACATAATCATTGATTTTACAGTCATTGTTTTTTCTTCATTTCTTTTATCAGTATTTCATGTTAATCGACAGACTTCAAATCGTGCTTATCTTATATAACATAGAAACTAACATGTATTGAATCGTTTACGAATACACAAAATATGCAGATGTTCAATAAGTTTTAAAATAAGAATTATATTCAAATGAATTTAAATGATCACAATAAATATTGATAAACAGTTAAAAGTTGCAAAGATATAGCATGTATCTAGGATTATTTCAATATTTCTTTCGTTTGATAAAATTGAGAAACACAAAAACATATTTTTTTAGATACTAAACTTCATAAAACAACATTATTTTAATGCGTATTTACATCGTTGAATAAGTTAGAAAATTAGAATTCATTGTAGTATCGCCGAAAATTCATATTTACTTTTATATAATTCTTCAAAAACTAAAAAAAAAAAAAAAAACTTTGACGAATAATAACTTGATGTATGTCAATGCTTCTTCTCTGTTCTACCCTCAAAAGTGTGAGAGATGAAAAAAAAAACAAATCAACTTACCATTTAATAATGATCACCAAAGAAAATCAAATGTGATGTATGACATGATATTTACTTAGTGTAACTCCATTGAATCTTAAACATCATTAAACTAGATATGATAGAGTCCTGTAATATACAATTATGAGAACTAGTGCATTTGCATGTGTACGATTTTTTTAATGCTCGACAACATTTTAAGAAGATTTAAATTAGAAAAATTTTCTAAGTTGAATTCTCATACTTAAAGATCTCATGAATAAAAGTTTTACTATATAATAATACGAGTTATAAACAATTATTCTTGTCAGAGAATCATTAAGTAATTTTTAACAGTCTTAATAGTAAAATAAAAATCTTATTCTATCCAGTTTACCACTGGACAATAATATACGCAGCGAAATAAACATTTAAAAAATGAAAAAGAATTAGTTATAGAATAGACCTCCACCAAGTAATACTTAACATATTCTGTGCCGTTTCACACTATCTATCCATGTACAATAAAATTTAATGTTGTATTTTTTCATTTCCAAACGTTAGATTGTTGAATTATGATCTCATAAAAAATGAATAAAATATTTTAATTTGCATTTATTTTGAGCAATTTATCCTAATTTCACGAAGTGGAATAAAGATGAATATGAATAAATTTTAATTTTCGTGGGTCCATTAAAAAAAAAACTTTGCATCCAACTTCTGGAAAAAAACACACGAATACAGTAATTTGGTCAATACTAATCATATTTGCAAATTCAATCTATACTTCATCTCATTTTTATTAATTTCACTATTATTTTTTTTTGTCATAGCAAGCGAAGAGTTGCCAACTCTTGGCATTTGTGTTTTTTTTGTTTTCAATGTTTGATTTCGAGACTGTACATTTCGGCTGTTTTTCATTACGTGTACCTATGCAAACTATTTTTCGTCTGTTTTTTTTTTGTATTTGTAGAAAGAGAAAAATAACGAGTGAAAAAAAAACACTATAAAATGGCAATGCTATCGTCTTGATAATGCATTCATTTAACGAAACTAACAATCACGCTTCAACCAGTCCGTACATCGACTTGAAAGTAAACAAAGAGATTCGACGTTCGTTATTACGCTAAGTCATATCTGCTAAAGAAATTAGCAGTTGTATTATTTTCATTCAAAATAATGAAGATTGGCAAGTATCTTGCTACTCGTTTTACGAGTTTGGCACCCCCTAAGGTTGTACCTGAAAACCCAATTAAACTTCTTCGTATGCTAAATCGTCGGCAAACTGCCTTTTTTCTTGTCGCTTTTTTTGCATGGACATTAGATGCTTTCGATTTCTTCTCTGTTACTCTTAATATCATCGAAATTGGTAAGACATACAAAAAAACAGTAGCGGATATCACTTGGGGTATTACTGTGACATTAATGCTTCGTTCAGTCGGTGCCATTCTCTTTGGTATTGCAGGTGATCGCTTTGGACGTAAATGGCCATTTATTATTAATATTATTTTCTATGCAACACTCGAAATTCTAACAGGCTTTTGTACAAATTACGCTCAATTCATTATTTGTCGAGCGTTTTTCGGTGTTGCTATGGGTGGTATATATGGTAATTGTGCCACCACAGCTCTCGAAGATGCACCACTCGCTACACGTGGTCTCTTATCAGGTATACTGCAACAGGGTTATGCATTTGGTTACATACTGGCCGCTGCTTTCAATCTGGCAATTACAAGTAATCAACGTTACGGTTGGCGAGCACTCTTTTGGCTGGCTGGTTTTCTTCCACTGCTTGTTGCTTTGTGGCGTGTATTCTTACCTGAAACAGAAACATTTCTTCGTGTCAAGGAGGCACGTAAAGCTGGCAAAGTCAAAGGTAAATCTTTTTGTTATTAAGTTACTCGAAAAATGTTTAAATTTTAGATGCAGATGGCCATGAAGTGTCTGCAGTACAAGCAGTCATCAATTCAATTCGTCCTACACTTGCTCACTATTGGCTGACACTCATCTATCTCATTCTAATGATGAGTGGATTTAATTTTTTAGCACATGGTAGTCAAGATCTGTATCCAACCTTTCTTAGCAATCAGCTACGATTTTCACCAGGTCTTGTTACTCTCACAACAATCGTTTCAAGTTGCGGAGCTCTCATTGGTGGTTCTGTGATTGGTTACTGTTCAAGTTTCTTCGGTCGACGATTATCTATGATTGTTGTTCTTATTGCCGGTGCTGCTCTTATTCCAGCATATCTTCTTCCGCGAGATAAAAGTATTGTTGCCGGTGCATTTTTCCAACAGCTGTGCGTACAAGGAGCTTGGGGTGTGGTGCCTATTCATCTCATGGAACTATCGCCTGAGGAGTTTCGTTCATTCGTTGTCGGTACTGCTTATCAATTAGGTAATCTCATCTCCTCGGCTTCATCGACCATCGAAGCCACACTTGGACAACGTTTTCCCTTGAAATCATCAGATGATACTTCTTCTGAACATCGATTTGATTATGGTAAAGTCATGGCTATTTTCTTAGCCTGTACTTATGTATATTTACTCATCATTATTTTACTTGGACCTGAAAAAAGACATATCGAAAAAGTTAAAAAACTCGAAGTTGAACTTACTGATCAACAGGCAACGGAGGATGGTGCTCTATCAAAATTACTAACAACGCCCAAAGATACACAAACAGAGAGAAAAGCATAACAAAAATGTTTTAGAACTACGAAAAACTTATGTGCGATATTCTTAATAATAGAGTAGTAAATAAAGTCTAATACAATTCTCGAGTAGATAAATTGATTTTTTGTCAAATTTTTCTAGATTTTGCCATAGCAAATATCAAATAAAATTAGTTAATATGTTCTGAACATCCAGGAAGATGATCTTTATTACGATAAAAATGAAAAGAATAATTCTTAACAGGCTTTTTACTTCATTTTTAATTCTTTCAAATAATTTATTCAATGCTTCAAGCAAAGAATAAATAAAATAGTAGCTTTCTTTGTTTTTTCTTTCTTTCAAGCATTCTTTTACATCATTCGAACATAAACTGAACAAATTTGATCAACAGAGGTTATCTGTAGGGTGACAATATTTCTGATCACCAAAAAAAGATACATTTGATCACCAAAAAATTTAGATACTTTTGATCACCAAAAAACGATACTTTTGATCACCATTTTTTAGTTTCTTCATTTCAAAATATTTATTTCTGAAATAATGCAACATTCACAATAAGAAAAGTCTGTATACTATTAACAATGTATTAAAAAAT